TTTTTTCACCCTTGTTGGTAAACAACCAACATTGTAACCCTAACATTCCATCTTTCTAAATTTAAGTTCAAATAGCAAAAGATCTTCTAGTAGTTTCTGAGGTGTAATTTGTGAATAAAAAGCAAATATATGATTAGTCAATTCAGCGCACACTGGCGCTCCCAGATGTTTGGGAAGTGACTCCTGACTGCTGATGCGGCGGCGTGAGCACCTCCATTCCGTATCTACGCTTCTCATCTCTGTGTTAGAAGCTCACTTCCTCCTTCCGCCTAGAGTAATTAAGATCCCACGGTCTTTGCTAAGTGACTTGAAACTCCCCGACCCTAAGCTGTCCTAGAGCTAGAGAGACCCTTTGCCGTAAGCCATCGAGTCTGTATACACATGCATATGTGCAGGGGTATTATGGAAAATCAATTCTTTTCTTGCTTTATTGTGGAAAATAATAAAATATTTTAGTAAAAAAAAAATACATTGTGTTTAGGCAAAGACTGCAAAGTGCCCACATCGCGAATCCACAGAAATAATTAACCTGCTAGCTCTGGCATCTGTAAAACTGCTTTCCCAAGGATGCCCTCTCTTTCCTATCCCCTCCTCAATTTCCATGGCTTTGGCCTTCATAAGCGCCCTTCTCCCTACACTCGGGACTGTGGGGTTTTTGAGCGACACGAGTCCTCCTGCAGTCGCCAGCTAATAAAAACTCCTATAATTTGGCTATGACTGGGTGTCCTCTTATTTGTCGCTGATCAGAATGTAACACTGATGTAGACAGGGCTCTGGGACTAGGGTGGTCCCTGTGGCTTGGTGTCAGCCCCTCTGGGGGCTGCTGGTGGGGGACAGCCTCGTGGGCATCTTAGCTCCTTACCTCCTACCTAGACAGCACTCCCTGTGGCTTTGCTAAAGAATCTGCTTCTTTTTTTTTAAAGAATGATTTCATTTATTTAATTTTATTTGTTATGATTATTTTTAAATTTGACCAGCAAGAGATAGAGATAGAGAGATAGATAGATAGAGAGAGAGAGAGAGAAAGGGAAAGTGGGAAAGCAAGCCACCAGGTGCTGGACTCAAACTGCGGTCTGCCATGTGTGAGCTCCCCAGCGACCACATCACCTGCTGGCCCTGAAGAAGCTGCTTTGAATCTCCTGCTTCTGCGATTTAGGCCCCAGCCAGGTTCGAGTCATCTGCTTGTCTGTAAAATAGTACTTTCTCTGCCAAGATCCGATTGGTTTCTTTGTATTTATTTATTTTTTTGTTGTCGTGGTTGTTCTTCCCTACTCTCGGTTCCTTCTGCCTCCCTTCCCTGAGGCTTTCTAGGTGGACAGTGTAGACAGGCTTCAGCAAGCACAGACGAAATGCAGAGTGACACAGCAAGGGCCTCGGGTGCAAGGATGGCTAGAAAGAATCCATTCTGTCTCTGGACACTCGTGCTCTGGGCCAAGGGTTCTTGGGTTTGGGAATTTCTGGGATCAACAACAAAGAAAATACAAACAATAGCTCTCCAAAATTAGGGAGGGAGGAAAGCATTTTGGGAAGTTGAGATGTCCTAAGTGAGGACTAGTTTCCAGGGTCCCTCTGCCTGCCCCAGTTTGTCTCCTGTGGGGTTTGCTCTCTCCACTCTGAGTTGATAATTGCTTAGAGATGAGCCCTCTCCATGAACTGTTGCATTAATGTTTCATTCTCTGCTTTTTGTCTCAGTGATTTTCATCATTAAAAACCCAAAGGGACAGATTCCACCAGCAGGACTCATTCCCCCTCATGAATCAGTAACACGCAGGTCTAATTAGTCTAAATGGTGCACTTTATTATGGGCCGTGCTGGGTCTCACGCTCTCCCTCCTCTGCCACCGTGCTGCCTTTCGCTGGCACGCACTGTTGGCCACCTATGTCTCTGCTGACATTTTAACAGTCGGTGGGGGGTATGAGAGTAAAAGACCACAGACCAACAAAGCTGTCAGGCAAGTGACACCTTGTAGGAGCCTCAAAAGGGGAACCCTGGGACCAACAGATGGCATATTGGTTATGTCATTAGACTCCTGCGTGGCCAACCACAGTTCAAGTCCCAGACTTCCTGGCTTGAAACTCACGCTGGACGTGTGCATGCCCAAAATCCAGAGAGGAGAATGGAGAAGGAATTGTGTCATTGCCATCCCCACTACTAGGGGGTGATTTTTTGTTTTCTGTCTCTTTGTCTCTTCAGCAAGAGCACACACCCTATATCACAAGTCTCTCTCTCTCTAAAAAAAAAAGGGATCCATCCCCAGTGGTGTGTGGTTTTCATGTCGCGGGCATTGCCCGCACAGAGAGGTCTCCTCTGCTCTGCCCCGTTGGAGCATGTCTGAGCACAAAGCTGCAACTTCGTGAAAAGTTGAGCAAACCAAACTTGGGAAAGCGACACAGATGAGGTGCTTGCTCTGCATGAAAGGGATGCAGGGACTGGTAATGAAGACCCTGAGCCCAAACCAGACCCCGGCTTCCCCAGTAACTAACTGCATGGCCCTGGCCTGTCTCTGGTGCCTCTTTCGTAAGACAAGACACGAGGTGCCTTACTTCTGGGGGGCTATGAAGACAGAACGGGCTGGCTACAGTGAGTCCTGGCCAGCGATGCTTCCAGCTGGTGCTCTGGGATGGGGTTCTCGATGCCAGCATCACTGACACTTGGGCTGGCTCACTCTTGTCCTGTAGGACATTCTGCAACCTCCCTGGTGACCTTGTTCTTCTAGATGCCAGTAGCACCCTCCCCTCTCCAACCCACTGTGCCAACAAGGACATCTCCAGGTGTCATCAGATGTCCATGTGTGTGGGGAGGAGGTTGCAAAATCCCTCCTAGGCTCAGCTCCCAGCCCGCACGGCCTTCACCTGTCCTCTCAAAGAAGACCTGAGAGGCCGATTATTACATCAGCCCATGCTTCAGATAGCACACCAAGGCTTGGGGAAGGTGACATTCTCGGCTTATGGTCCAGCAAGAGGGCAAACTTGGCTTCAAACCCAGGCCTCCCAACCCTCTCCTTCCCCGGACCAGAGCTTACCCTGTGGATTCGGCACTCACTTGTCTACACCCACACTTACACACAGACTCATTGGGAACTAGAGAGGCAGGAGAAAGGGAACTCTCTTTGTTTCTATAAAATAAACGTACACGGGGCACCCCCGGCTGCTTTCGACTGGTGGAGACAGTGGTGTGGGCACAGCCCAGGGTGCCCCACACTGGCCCTATCCCTGCGTGTAGCCCTCCCTGCACAGAGTGGCTCTCTACACAGTGCGCCGCTCTACATTCAGAGGGGCTTAATACGTGCTGCTGACTCACAGGCAGGGCAGCTGGGGGCTAGGGGAGGAGCATGGAAGAAGTGAGCAAGTTGTGACTCAGGGCCTCTGTGAGCACCAACGGCCCTGCGTCTGCTGCCATGCTCTGCCCGGGTGGGCGACCGTGCAGGGAAGGAACAAAACCCAACAGGTATATGACATAACCTGCTAAGAGTGGCTTGTGTGTCATTCTCCCCAGGAGGATGTGCCGGGGAATTTATAACTTGAGATGCAGTGGGCAGGAGACCCGACTGCTGTCATTTCCTTCCCTGGGCGCATGATGTCAGTGCCCCAGCAGAGGCTTACCCACCCGAGCCTGATGGGGAGACTCTGCAGGCGCGGAAACTGCCGGTCTGAGGTCCTGGATCACAGCCAAGTCCTGAAGTTCTGCCTGGGAGATTTTTTTTTCCTGCCCCCAGAATCCAGGAGTGTTCAGTGAACACAAGAGGGTTTTCAACCTCTGATGTGTTTTGTGAACCTGAGGCTCTCTTCCGAGAATTCCGAGGAACTTTAAAAGCGTGCCTAGAGTAGGTTAGAACTGATCTGCCACCTCCGCCCAGAAGCCTCCGGAGTTGCCTCAGGAGGCCTTACTCATCTTTCTTCCGAGCCCCCGCCCTTCTGGGCTCCTGGATCTGTCAGGTGCTCGGGCTCACTTCGCCACCATTCTCATTTGCTCTGCTTTATTTCCACACTCTTCACTCTCCAGTCTGTCTTCGGCACCCTATAGGTTTCCCCTCGTGTGTTTGTTTACTGAATAAGCAGCTGTCTTGGGCTTACCACGAGTCACCAATATTAACTACAGAGATTACGGGGGGTGGATCTGCACAGCCGCACTTCCCTGGGTCCTTTCCGGGGAAATGTGGGGAGCACCGCAAACCAGTCTCAAGCAGCTCCCTCCTCCCCAGCATTAACTCCTAGGCTGATGGGTGCTTTGGCATCGGAAGCTCTGCTCAGTCTGCCTCGCTTCCCTGCGGCTGCCTGACCACCCTGCCTTGGCGAGCGTGGAAACTCCAGCTGGCAGAACCTCCTCAGAGAGCCTTGCTATTTGCTGCTGCTGCTGAGATGGGAAGAGCTGTTCTTCCCAGGGCTTGAAGAATAAAAGAGCCCCAGACCACCCTGCAGTCCCCCTTCACCAAGCTCTCCCAGGGGGTAGAGGCTTCCCCTCGGTACACAGACAGCCCCGGTCTGGGCTTCCACCACTCTGGGGAGGGGATGTTGGACACTTACACAACTCCCTTCACCCCAGCTGTGCTTCATCCCCCAGGTCTGGCGCTGCCTCTGATAGATAAGAGTGAGATCCTGGCCCTCTGGTACTCTGAGAAGCCAAAGGTACCCGGAGGGGGCTCCATGGCTGCAGTGCTACAACGGAACCACGCTATTGAGAGGACGAGCTTCTCGGCAGGTGGGGAGATCGTGTTTGATGACCGCTGTCTCCCCAGGGGCCATATTGGTGCGAGAAACAAATAGGTGAATGAACGGGGAGCCTGACCAACAAGTCACTAGATTTTCTCAACCCGGAGCTGGGGGGTTGGCCTTAACCCTGTCTGGGTTTGGCACCAAAGACCTCATTGTCCGGGTGGAACATTTCTGTCCGCTCAAGGAATAAATTACAGGCCCCGTCAGACAGCACTGCCCACAACGCGAGCCACGGATGTCACGTGAGGTACTCTAATAGCCTCGTTCACGAGCACGAAAACAATCAGGTGAAATTAATCATCGACTTTATGTAACCCATTATATATAAAATATATATGTTCAGGGCGTAGTGGTGCCTGCCCTATGGCAAAAATGTATTTTCAGCATGTCTGCAATATAACAATTACTGATGAGCTATTTTACATTCTCTCTCTTTTCTTCCCCTACAAAGTACTTGAAATCCCTTATAGCACATCAGAGAAGCCCCCTTTCCGGGACTCAAAGCCATGTGTGATCAGAGTCGACCGTCCTGGACAGCCTTGCAACAGAGTCGTTTGCTGTTACTGAAGGAAGATCCTAGCGGCTGGCTTTTTGTTTTCTGCGTCTTCATTTTCTGTGTTTTCTAAGATTTCTGCAATGAACATAAGTGAGACTGATCGTCAGGAAAAGGTGACAGTGATCTAACTATTACCATACTATGTGGCCTGTGGTTAGTATTGGACTCTGTTCTTATTTAAGGAAAATGGCTCTTGCTTAGATTTTTGTCTGTACAGAACAAATTTAGAGAAAACGATCTTTGCCTAGAGGCCAATGGAGGCATGTCCCAAAGCACCGTGACAGAGCTGTTTGTATTTGCAAAGCATATCTGACGATGCAGCTGCTCAGACAGGCTTCTTAGATGGAGGCGGTAAGCGAGCTCCCCACTTCGTACCCTAAAGAAATACATTGGACACCCGCGATGCCCTCTTAGGGATTCTGCTGGGAGCGCTTGCAGTACTGGCTGACTCGCCACTGAAGGGACACAACTGGGGGTTGGCGACTTGAAATGAAATGCCATCTGCACAGGGTGGGGGCATCTAGCCAAGCTACCTTCCCTGAGACGTCCTGGACACCAAAGCCAGGTCCAGAAAATGGCCTTGGCAGGTGGGGCCAGGAAAACGAGACGCCTCAGGTTCATTTCCACGGGTTTTCTAATAGGATGGCACTCCTCCATTTGTTCACGCTTGCATTCATTCACTCACCCGTCCTCTACTCACTCACTCAGTTACTTGCTTAGTTTTTCATGCACTCAGGTATCTATGCAACCAGTCATTCACTTACTTATTTGCACACTCAGTCATCCCTCCACTCATTCATTGGCCCACTCACTCATTCACTTACTCACTCACTCATTCTCTTATTAACTGTACCCCTCCTCCTACCTCTTCCAACTTTCTTTTTCTTTTTCTTTTTCTGGAGAGGTTTTTGCTATAGGGTGCGTGCGCTCACCAGAAAGGCAGAGACAAACAGACAGGCAGAAAGCGACAAATCACCCCCGAAGAGGGATGGCCACACTGCAATCCCTTCTCTCCCATTCTCCTCTCAGGATCTTGGGCAAGAACGCACACACGCGTCCGGCATGAGTTTAAGCCACCAGGTCAGGGACTCGAACTGCGGTCGACTACATGGGAGTCCAGCGACATAGCCATTATGCCAACTTTGTTTTTCTGAACAGACTTTATTACCGTCTATATACTGCATAATCCACGTCATCATCTTGTTATTTTTTCTGTCTCCTCTCACCCATCCTGCATAATTCACTTCACTATCTTGTTGCGATATTTTTCTGTCTCTCCCACCGTCCCTTGGGTAGAAGGTCAGCACCAGGCTATTTTGTCATGATATGATGGCTCCAGGTTTTCACGCCTGAAAATGACAGCAGAAGTGAGCTGAAGGGACTTAGGGAAAATGCACAGAAGTGAATCAGTTACTCAACAAGTTGGGCCTCAAGGCATTTGCTTTTAAAAACCAAAGCGTTCAGAGGAGGGGGAAGTGGTGGGGGTTTAGCCTCTGCCAGGGTGGCTGCCCGTCTGCCGTAGTACTGAGTACTAACGGCTGACAGTGACAGCACTGAGCCTGTCCAGTCCCTTTGCTTATGCAGGCAAAACCCAAAGGCCCGTTCCTATGGAGTTAGCGAGCACACGCACGCACACACCCCAGCTCATCTCTAAGGAGTTAAAAGGGACCTAAGACATGTGACCTCCTCCCAGCTTCATTACTGGCCCGGAAATCCACTCGGAAGTTTCACATTTTTAAGCTCAGCGCTGCCCAGAATTCCTAAGATTGGTGGTCACATAGAACTCAGAGGGTCACTGTCCCTCTCGTGGGCTTGTTAGACACATCCTGTGTCTAACACAGATTGTGGCTTTTCGAAAGCCACTTCCAAGGTCCAGCTTCCCTGGTTTTGAACATGAACTATTACATCTGAATTCAGATTGGGAGAAAACCAAGTATCCCCTGACACACCTTTTCCTGCCCTTTCCACCCACCCCAAGCAGCAAAACAATTCCCTGGGGGAAGTTTACGTACTTATTTTTTATTCCACAATTTGATCCTCAGGTCGAGTGTCTTCAACTGTTCTGCATCATCCCTCCTCCTTTCCTATTCCCTTCCCATTTGACGGAGAAGCCTTCTCTCCGACCTCGGCACCCTAGTGAAGCTAGGCTCCTTCGCCCTCTGCAGAATGCACTCCTTCAAGTCACATCTCGGAGGAAAGGCCAAGTCTGTCCTCAGCCGGGGAAGACGTGGGTACTCCCAGTTTTTCCAAAAGAAAAGCAAAGGGAAAAGGAACCCTGGGTTGTCCCCATACCCAATCCATGCAGGTATAACAATAGTTTCACAAAGGAAAGTCCAGAGAGGGGCATTCTGCTGCCAAGGAGGTCCAGAGGCATGGAGTGAAACACTGAGCAGGCCTAACCAGCCTTTGTCACTGGACCCGGGCGAGGGCATCGCATGTGGCTGGCAGCCCAGACACAGGCACAGAAGCCCCTGCCCTCGGAGCAGGACGGTCTCAGCAGCGGCCACTGGCATTGATGGCCAGCTCGCAGAGGATGGAGCCTGGGTGGCCACCTTTGCTTCCTGCGCTACCTGTCACTGCCTTGTCACCTTGGGGCCAAACAATGGGGCCTGTTTTCCCTTATATAACCACTGGTACTCCCCTTTCCCTGTCCCACAGCTCTAGAACAATCTGAGGAGCAGGCAGGGGTAAAGGAGTGGAAGGCGAGGAGGAGAAATTCCCCTCACCACAGAGGAGCAGCCCTTGGCTAATGGTCTCACTTGCTGGGGTTAATTTTACTCTCTTCGGCTGGACTTTAAGCTCCCTGGATGCATGCTGGGACTCTCTCTCTCTCCCCCTCATGTCTCTGAGGCTTCTGTTCACATTCCCTTTCCAGAATCTTCTCTGGCTGGACTCCCTTGCTTCTGAGCACCTGTTAGTGGACTATCTGCTTTCTCTCTGCACCAGGAAGGCAGGGAGCTGTGTCTGTCTTTTCCTCCGCTGCATTCTCCGGACCTAACCCAGCCCAGTGCATGGTAAGCACGCAAAATATTTGTTGAAAGAAAGAAAGAAAGAATGAATAGTGTATACTCTGTCGGTGTGCACAAATTCTAGCACGGATCCACAAGTTGGTTCTCACCTGACTCCATGAGTCCCTGACCAGAAACCTGCCCTTGTGACAGGCGGCTTTGCAAACAGGTTCTCCCCAGGGGCGAGGACTGACTTGTTGTCTTAACATTTTCAAGCTGGTGGGGCCACAGGGAAAGCTGTGCAGGTCGCTTGCCCGGCTGCCACAAAGGCCTCATTGAGGAGGCGGCCTCCACGGGCCTTCCTTCACCTGAGGGCCCTTGCCTAGAGGGGCTGGGGCTGGGCTTTCCTGGCAGGAGTGGGCCCCCCTGGGGGGGGGGGACATCCACACATTTATTACAGTCCTGCCATGTGGCCGCACGCTGGACAAGAGGAAAACTCCCACCTGCCCGTATGGAGTTTATAGTCACCCAGGAAGTCAGAAAGCCAGCACGTCACAGAAGAAGGCCAGAGATCCTGAAGCGGAAAGGTCATGGCAGGCAGGTTCCGGAAGGCTCTCCAGAGGGAGTGGCTTCTCTGCTCTGGAGTGTCACAGTGGATGAATAAGTTGAAGTGGGGATGACTGCGCTTAGCCCAAGACAGGCCTGGAGGAGGCAAGTGTGGGTGGCCGGACGGTAGGAACCACGGGGCCTTTTCTGCATCCGTCATGTTTTCTGGAAACAATGATCTACTTAGTTTTATTTATCATTATCGTTATTCTTCTACTTGTTACAGGGCACATGAGCTCACAAAAGGAGATAGACAAAGAGGGAAAGTGAGAAAACAAGCCTCCAGGTCCGAGACTCGAACCACGGTTGCCCACGTGGGAGTCGAACGCCACCTGCTGGCCCCATTCATCACATTTACTGAGCATCTTCTCCACGCTTCCAGGCACCAGAAAACAGCAGTGGGCAGAACACACATGCCCCGTGCCCCCACCCAGGTGGGGCAGACAGACCACCACCAAAAGCAGCTGTGAACGGCATGGCAGTTCGGACAGACTGGGTTAGTCCCAGCTGGGCAGAGGGGCTGGGAAGTGCCCAGGAGGTGGAGAGAGCCACTTCCCACGGTGGCCAGGGCAGCCTGGCTGCAAAGGGGATATTCCCAGTGGCTCAGTCTAGAGGGACCAGGGTAGAGCTTGACAGGAGGATTTTCAGTAGCGTGCGTGGTGCTTCATGCCAGCTCACTGGCTTCCTGCCTGGCCAGCTGCTGCCTTGTTTGTTTCAGGCCCCTCTGTGTGTGGCTTCCAAGGGGCAGCAGGTTCCTCAGCTGGACCACAGCCCTCATAGGCCAGCCGGCAGCAACAGCATGGGGCAGGACGACCCTCTCAGGGCTGTCTGGTCTCTGACACCTGCCTGATCCACCTGCCTGGAGTGAGGCTGTGCCGTGCATGGTCTCCGGAGTCCTTAGGTCCACTGCAGAGTGGCATGTCACAGTAATGGGGGTGGGGGGAAAACTACGCCCTTGTCCCTGAAAATGTCTGAGACTCCCTGGAGAGCAGAGGTCTTCTCTGTGCCATTATTTGGAGGCTGAAGTCAGAGCTGCCCCTGCCCTCCCCCGGACCCCAGACCTCTCACCAGGAGAGGAGGGTACGATATCCCCCCAGCCTGGCACCTTACAGGTGCTCAGCAGGTGTTTAAGGAAGGGACTGTCGACACATCTATGGGAAGGGAACTTTCCAGAGACTCCAGTCAGGCCTCTCCCTTCCCTGCCTCCTGCAGGATGGTACAGAGGCTCAAGGACCTGTTTCTAACTCAGTCCCAGGAATAGGACAGATTGCCGGGTCATGGGCTATGGACCCAAAATGTTGGGTCCTGGCATACCTCACACAGACTCGGCGCTGGAGACGGTAATTACCACGTGACAGCACGAGGGTGCTCGGGGTCGGCCGTTGGCTCATAACGGTTGCTTATTATTGCAATTATCACAGACTCAGCCCTCCGGGCCCCTCATCCTGGACCCTCAGTCACTCACTCATTCATACAGTGGACATTAATTCACTCACCAAACACTTATGTGATAGGCATGGAGCAGAGTCTGGGGGTGCAGAGTGAACACAGTGAGAAGTCCCTGTTCCCATACAGCATGCCTTCTGCCGGGAGAGGGACAGGAAGTGAGAGAGGGAGAGGGAGAGGGAGATATTAGCATTCCCTCTCCTCCCCAGCCTCCTGTAATTGCTCCAAATGTTTGCAATGCAGCCCGGAGCTTTTCATTCCCCCTGGGAATTTCATTTCATTAAGACTAAGTGAGCAAATAACCTGAAGAAAAGGGCAAACTTGATTTAATTCATACTCAAGTGTAAATGACTTTCTTCTCCCAAATCCTCTGTGTGCGTGTGTGAGATTGTCTTAGCCAAGGTCTTGCTGTGTTGAAAGCTTCCTACCTCAGCCGTCTGAGTAGATGTCATTACAGACAGGTGCCGTTATGCCTGACTTTTTAAGGTCGGCTGGGAAAGGGACCCAGGCCTCCCACGTGGCCTAGCCTGCTGAGTTGCAGTGTCTGGCACACATAAGCACAACCGGCCTCAGCCACTCTTGCTAGAGGAAGAGGGTCACCAGCATAAGGCCCAAGAACTCTGGGGTAGAGGGAAGGGAGGACGAGAAGGGCTTCCCACAGCAGAGGGAAAGGGAGGAAGGAGAGGCTTCGGGGAAGGGGAGCGAGGCAAACCTTTACTTCCGGGTCTGACCTGAACTCTGGGGCCAGCACAGTCAGGGAGAGGCTGGCGTCTTTCTGACCCCGGGGAGGGGGTGGGTGCAATTTTAAAGTGCTCCTCGGTCCAAGGTCTCCATCTGAAAACAAGACTAAGACCCAAAGAAATCAAGGTGAAGACCCACCAGGGCCGTATGCAGGGTGAGAACCTGTTTCTCAGACAAGCATGTGGCTTCGGAGAAGGTTTTCTGCTTATCCGTTGCCGGGGCCAGAGAACCACTGAGAATAGGCGCAGCGTGGAGCGGACTTGGGGCTCGCGCCCAGGCATAGGAGCCAGGAGTGTGGCGCTGGCTGAGAGGTCGTCTGGCTCCAGCCCGGGGCAGAGACCCTTCCGTGCAGGCCAGATCTAGCCCCGCGTGCTAGGCTCCGACCCCATCAACATGACAGAGAGAGCCCCAGTGGGCAAGAACCCTGGTGTTTCCCAGGCTCCCATCCCTCCGCAGTCATAAACCCGCCAGTGTACCCAGAGGACCCTCTCTGCTGTCCCGATCACAAACCTCTGCATGCTGGAAAAAATGACGTAGGCGGATTGCACCCACACTTGCACTCTCAACTCCCCGAACACTAAGACTTCTTTTCCAGATAAAGGAGAAAGACAGATCAAAGAAGGGAAGGGAAGGGAAGGACAAAAGAAAGAACTGTTAAGAACAAGGGAAATAGCCAGTGAGATTCAGGAACAGATAAAGACCTGAGCCTCTGAGAAAGGAGGCCAAGAATATGCCCTAAGGGGCCAGCCAAGGGCCCTTCCATCTCCTATCTTGATGCTGAAAGTGACCTGATTTTGACTCATCAAAAAGTGACCAAACAGGGAAAAAGAGACTTGATATGTCCAGGCTGTATTTCTTACAAATGAAGTCTGAACAGATGGAGTCTGAAAAGGTGGGAGGCGGATCCATAATCCCCATTCTTCAGAGTATCACAATGGTGCTCTTAGCAAATCAGCATTTCATTATCTTGGAATGAGACACCAAGAAAATCGTGGGGAGGCCCCACTTTCCAGCAAAGGGCTATGCCCCTGAGCTAAGACTTGCATTAACAGAAATGTAACCTTATCTTTAAAGCAAAACTTCTTCCCTTAAAATGCCTGCTCTAGCTATAAGGTCGGCAGACCTCAGTGGGGCAGGGTGTGTTCCATTAGGATTGTGGTTCTGGACCTGAAGAGTTGGGGTCCTGGCTTTCCTATGGAATGCTCCCTGCCCCCTTCCCTCCCCTCTCTGGTGATTGTGGTTCTGGACCTGAAGAGTTGGGGTCTTGGCCTTCCTATGGAATGCTCCCTGCCCCCTTTCCTCTCCTCTCTGGTGACTATCGACTCGGAACTGTGCCCTGTCCTCCCCTCTCTGGTGATTATGGTTCTGGACCTGAAGAGTTGGGGTCCTGGCCTTCCTATGGAATGCTCCCTGCCCCCTTTCCTCTCCTCTCTGGTGATTGTGGTTCTGGACCTGAAGAGTTGGGGTCCTGGCCTTCCTATGGAATGCTCCCTGCCCTCTTCCCTCCCCTCTCTGGTGTCATTC